TGCAGGAGACACAGGGGACAAGGGTTCGATCCCTGGGTCGGGAAGATTCCCTGGAGAAGGAAATGGTAGCCCACTCCAGTGTTCTTGCCCGGGAAATCCCACAGAGGAGCCTACAGTCCATGGGGTCACAAAAAGTCGGGCACAACTGAGCAACTGAGCACGCACATGGACACTCCTTGATCCCCAGCCTGAATCATGCTAGAGAAGATGCTCTGATTCTCAGAAAAGAATTGCCCACAGAAACCCCTGGCTCCCCTTCCTCATTTGGCTCCACAAAAGACAGATCAGTCACTGGCCAGGGCTGGAGGAGTTCTCAAACCCCTCACACACCACCCCCATTCCTACTTTTCCCAACCCTCCTTTCCAGAATGTTCCTCAGCCTGGCCCTTCCCACCTTCCTCTCCTACTGATGACCTACCAGGACAGAGTTCTTTCCTTCTGCCCCTCAAGCTGGCGGCATGAACCCAGGTGCTCTTTGGGAATGACTGTGAGCCTGACGCCGTTAGCAGTCTTGAAAGCGCACAAGCCTCCCAACTAGCTGTCTTTTCCCGCCCCTGTCTCCTATTGTGTCCCCCTCAACTCAACCTGGATCCCACTCCCACATAAGAAAGACACAATACCTTCTCCTCAAAATGCCAAAGAACGAGGTTCTTCAGGAGTGCCCAAAAGACTGGAGAGGCTGGAAACACCATGAAGGGTTAGCAGCGAACCCCAGACATCCTGGGCTCTAAAGGACTGTCATCCCACCCCCTCTATGTGGCTGGAACCCTCCCCCAACACCTTCCCTTCTCTTTCTACCTACCACGGGCATACAGGGTGCCCACCACTCATTGCCTCCTGCCAGCTGTCCTCGCCCTGAGCTGGACCACACTTTTCCTGATGTCCTCCTCCTCCTCCTCTCAGCCCCTAAACCTGAGTGTCCACACAAAGGACTCCTAGTCCACATGAGTTAGGATCATGATGAAAAGCTCAGATCTGGACCCAGCCCTCCTGAGATGCAGGAAGGGCCTTAGGACTCACCCTGCAGAGTCCCCTGTGGCTCCGGCCCACACTCTGAGAACCTGCTGCCCTAACACGCAAGAGCCAGCCTCCAAAGCCACCCTAACTCACGAGCCTTCCCACCAGACAGTCTGTGCAGTCTGTGCCCCCTTGGAGAATTGCCCCTGCAGCACTGTGCCGGGCTGGGGTGCTGCCAAGCTCCACCCCAACTCTCCCCGAGCACATGCCCTCTGCCTCCTCTTCTGTAAGGTGGGGGCGATGCTTGTTCTCTTACCCCATAACTATGCTCTAAGGTTCAGATGAGAAAAGTGAAACCTTGTTGAGGAGCCAGAAGCCTTGACTAAATACACATGTTTTATTATTATGAAAGTGATGTGTGGGAGGGGGCAACAGAGCATCTGTCAAGGGACCCTGCTCTGGTGCCACCAGCAGCCTGGTCAAGGCCAGGAAGTGTGGTCCCGGTCCTAATCTCAAGCCCATCCCGAGCCTAGGAAAAAAGGAAGGCATGTTGACATGAGGACTTGAGGGAGAACCACTGGGACTCCTTTGAATGACTCTCCTTTCCCTGGCGCCCCCAGCTGCCCCCAGATGCCCAGCCCATCAAGGGCAGGGACCAGCCCTCTGCACCAGCTCCCCATCTCTAATTACTCCACACGCACTCTGGCACCAGCCCTGCAACCAAATTATGATTGATCCTTCACTCCTCTTGAATCAATGCCATCGACTTGGAACAGGGGGACCAATCCAAACTCCCCTCCAGGAAATGGAGGACTGCAGCAAAGCCAAGCACAGGCCTGCCCACCCAAACCATGCACGTGCACACATGCACACACACTCATGTGCACTCCTGCACACACATACACTCCTGCCCATTCAAACTGTGCATGTCCCCCGACACACACACACGCACCCCTGCACACACAAATGTGCACACACACGTGCCCAGGAAGGCACATGGATGAGTATATGCACACTGGCCACAAGTAGGTTTTTGCATGGAGACACAGGAATAGTCTGACCCCCATTCCTGGATGCCTTCATGCACATCTGAACAAGTGTTCACAAACACGCTCACATGTGAGGCCTCACACAGGCTGCTGGAGAGGAGAAGAGGCACTTCAGCACCACAAGCACACTCTGGCCAAGCGGAGAGCAGAGAGGCCTGCCCACCCCCACCCCGAGCTGCAAACTCGGGGCCTGACTCACACTCACAGTGTGGGAGCCCCATGTGCTCTGGCATGCCCCAGGCAGAAACCCTTGCTGTCGTGTGGGACGCAGCACCCGCAACTCCGGGACGTGCCCTTCGTGACTTCTTCACCTGGCAGAGCCCATTCCAGCCCCTCCAGGTGCTCTCCACACCTCCATCCACGTGGCCTGCATCTGCACCTGCACCCCAAATGATGGGAAATGGGAGCCGAACCATCTAGAAGCCAAAGCACAGTGACAGCCAGCAGGCCACTTCCGCCTGGCTCGGGTATGGGGGTGAAGAGAGAAGGTCAAGTGTGGAGCAGAGAGAAGGCAAAATGGGACCCCCCACTCAATACGGCTCACACAGAAGTCCCCTGCCCTTGAGGTCAAGCCCCAATATGGCCTCAGATTGCAGGCCCCCTACCCTCGAGGTCAAGTTCATCCACTCACCCTCACACACACATTCAGGCCACACACACTCACGCCAGACCCCTCTGGGTCAAATCACAGAAGCACGGAATGTCAGAAGTAGAAAAGGCACAGGTATTATCAGGGACACCATCCCACCCTCCCAACACACTCTCAAACAAGGCCACCTGTTTTAGAATCTTCCTTGAGGACTTTCTGGACAAGTGATCTTCCATCTTGCCAACATAGGCACTGAACACTTGGGGAATGCAGAACCCTCATCCAGATCTGGGATGAACAGCTCTCACTCTTTCCAAATAGCGTCCAAACCTTCCTGCCCACAATGTCCATCATTTGGCATGAAACAGAAGGAAAGCCATTTTAATCATAAGTGGCCAGCCCTGCTACCATTTCATAGCATTTCTGCTCACATCTCCCACTGGCAGCGCTGTGCAGAGGTGGATGACTGGGACTGGAGGGTGATCTGACTCTCCAAAGTACATGCAGGTGGCTCCGACCTCCCTCCTGCAAGAGTCGCCTTCTTCCCCCATCAGCTGAGAATAGCAGGTGGAGAAGATTCCCACCAAGATGGTCACAGCAATGATTTGGTTGTGTCTGCAGGTGTTTGGGATTAATTAGGCCCCATAAAACTGCAGGCTGTGGCTTTTATTACCAGCCACAAGCAGGTCAGTTGTTTGGGTGGCAGTAAACTATGAAAGTCGTTCAGTCATATCTGACTCTTTGCCACCCCACGGACTGGAGCCCGCCAGGCCCCTCCTCCATCCATGGGATTCTCCAGGCAAGAATACTGGAGTGGCTTGCCATTTCCTTCTCCAGGGGATCTTCCCAACTCAGGGATTGAACCCAGGTCTCCTGCATTGCAGCCACCCCGAGTGGCTCGGCAGTAAAGAATCTGCCTGCAATGCAGTAGACCCTGGTTCAATCCCTGAGTTGGGAAGATCTCCTGGAGAAAGAAGTGGCAACCCACTCCAGTTCCTAGAGAATCCTGGAGAATCCCATGGACAGAGGAGCCTGGCGGTCTACAATCCATGAGGTGGCAAAGAGTTGGACATGACTGAGCAACTAATACTTTTACTCTTCAAACTCTGAACAGCGCAGTGACCCGTGGCCATGAAAGAGAACAGCAGGTGGAAGAGGACTCACTTTCCAAGGCCACCAGTTTTAGAATCTTCCCAGGAGGCAAGAGGGTATCAGGCACCCCCTCTTTCTGAGCAGCCTGTAGAGAAGTCTGTTTCATCCAGAAGCCAGGGATGAACAGGAAAACAGTGCTGGGAATGGACTGACCGCCCTGTTAAGACACAGCAAACAAGGACCGTGTGGCCTGTTAGGACTTAGTGTCCCCTTAGCCCAAAAAGAGGAAGAGAAGAGCTGGCCTTTCCCAGAGAGAAGATAAAGCTATAGCTCAAGAGCTCACAGGGCGGCCTGGGCCCTTGGACTTCTGGCAGGGAGGGACAGGGCCAGAGCAACCTGATGTCTAGGTTTCCCCTCCAGAGGATGGACATCAGAGCCATGTGCTGCTTGCCTTGAGGAAGCTGCAAACTTGGCTTGATTGATTTTTCACCTCTAGGTCAGGAATTGTGAGTCCTATACCCTCTCCAACAAGCTTCCGGTGAGGCCAGAGTGACCAGACCAGGAAGAATCGTGTCCCAGGGACCTCTGCCTCCTCTGCCCTCAGCCCCACCACCTTGCCTCCTCCCTCCTCCCTCAGCCTTTTTCATCCCAAAAGAAGCAGCTGGGTGATTCCTCTCCAAGTGAAACTGACCCCAAGGACTCTCTCTCTGGCCAAGAAGAGAAGGCGAAGGCAGCTGGTCCCGGAGAATCTATCTGGAGACTAGATGTTGAAGCAATGATGCCCACATGAGCCCGACCAGCCTGGGTCCCCGGCAGGCACCTGCTATGGTCCCCAAGGAGATGAAATGCACAGTGGCTCCTTGCTTCTGGGGCCACATGGCACAGGCAACAACCAGGTTGGCTCTGGCTTATATGACGGTGTGGAGCCAAGCACTGAAGTTGGGGTCGCATTTTACAATAGTTAGGATCCTTCATTGCCCACTGGAGAAGGAAATGGCATGCCAGGCACTCCAGTATTCTTGCCTGGGAAATCCCAAGGATCAAGGAGCCTGGCAGGCTACAGTCCATGGGGTCAAAAAAAGGCAGATGTGACGAAACTACCACCACCACCACGAGGTAGGAAACTGCTGGAAATGCAGGTTTGGCCAAGATGGGACTCAGGCTCCAGGGTGTTTGGGGAGGCAGCCAATGTGGGTGGGGAGGGCCATCAGAGGTCTGCCTGGTCAGCATGACCCTAGTCGGTCTTCAGACTGGACTCTGCCCTCACTTCCTTCTGTGTCCCCCGTGCCCTTCAGCAAGCACCCACCACTCACCTCTTCAACCTCGGACGTTGCTTCTGGGGGGAACACTATGCTGGCTCTGCTCTGGAAGTGTCCCTTCTCACCTGATCCCTTGTCTGAAGCAGCAGCCAGAGCTGGAAATTTGAAAGCCTCAGGTATCAGGTGAGGGGGGCGGGGGGGGGGGAATTCTGAGGTCAGTCAGAGGTCAAGCCACCCATCCCCTTCCTCCTAGACACTGAGGCACCCTCCTGTCACCCTGCACAAGCCTGACTTAGAACACAATGCTCAGTCAGGGCGCGGAGCCCACAAGCCTAAATGCTGCCTGTCCCGCCTCCATCCCGGCCCCTGGTGCTCCTTCAGGGCAGACAGTGCCAGCCTGGCATGGTCTTGAGGCCTTGGCCACAGTGCCCTGGGGAGGAGGTGACACCCACAGATGCAGGGGTCTCCTTCTCTCTCCATCTACATCCACTTCACCATCGAGGACAGGGAAGCAGACATCAGAGACGTCCCTAAGGCCCCTGCCAAGAGCCCCCAGGAAAGGACATGTCACCAGTGGGAGAAAAAGAGCATCCTAGGCCCTGGAGTCTGGGGGAGAGGCCACACCTGCGGCACCTTGGCCCCAAACCATCCTTGCCTTGGCACATAGAAGCCCAACCCCTTCCCGCTTGTGGGTGAAATGAATGGAGGAGCACCGGGGCCTCCATGGGGCACAGCAGGTCCAAGGTCCCACAGCTGGTGAGCCTCAGGAAGCCAGCTGCAGCTCCTGTCCTCTGGGTCCTCTTACCCTCACCTGAGCGAACAGTGTAAGAAGCCAAATTGCTGATGTTGTGGGAGGCTTCAGATGCCATTTCCTATGGGTATTGTTTCCAGCCCAGTGTTGTATTAACAGAGCTCTGCCTGGTGATCATTGTATTATCATATTTTAATCATAGGATAATGATGATAATCTCAATCCCTGATGAGATGCTTGCATCCTGAGTTTCACACCTGCGCTCCGTATATCTACACCCCACCCCCACTGGGGGCTGGCTGTGGGGTCAGCACCCCTTCCTGCACGTAAGGTCAGGGGGTCACTTTCTTCTGTCCGTCTTCCAGGCTAACAGTGCCCAAAGCCAGAGTTTGGAGCATACACATCTTTAATCTTTGCCGCCCACTGGCCCTTCTTTCACACCGCCAGATGGAGAAAGGTCTAGGAGGCAAACTAAGGTCCCAAAGAGATGGAAGAAAGTTCTGGTGGTTTGTTAGGATCCAGCAGAAGGTGGGAGAGGCCGGAGCCATGCTTCCGGGGCCTGGTCATCTCGTCCAGGCTGATTTGGCCCTGCTTTGTCAGGCACTCACTAGCTCCCTTAGAAAAGATCGCTTAAGCTTCCACTCGGCAGGCACTGATCCTACCCTGGACTTCATTCCTGAGAGAGAGACCACGCCAGGTCATGGGGACACAGCATGAGGTCTCAGTCCTTAACCCACTCATGATGACAGTGACTGACAACACTATTTACTGGGTAACACTATGACCTCACGAGGAGAAGGACCAGGGTGGGCGATGCGGGGAAAGGCCGTTAGTAGGACCAGCCCCACAGCCCTCCCAGGATGCCGGCCTTTCACCAAAGAGCACCCCTCGGGGGACAGTCCCACGCTTCTCTTGTAGGATCTGCCACTTGCCTGCTGGTGATGGAGGCAGTGACTCTGGGACACTTAGAGCTCTCAGGACACAGAGCTAGCAAGGATTCAGCAGTGCAGGCGAGAGGAGACGAGGGAAGAGCCGGAGGAAATGCATAACTGGGCCTGACACAGGGAAAGGGATTTGCAAAGAAAATTCTATTCATGGAGTATTTCCTTCTGATCTCAGCAAAGAGTCAGCCAAAAAGGTCTTGCTCTGTGTTAAAACCCTGCTGTCCTTTCAGAGGCACACACAGACACCCTGCATCATGTCTGCCATTGGACATAGGTGGTGGAGGGAAGGTGGGGGTCACACCCCTCACTCACAAACAGGGCCTGAGCCATCTGAGGGCCCACACTCCAGTGATGGGTGAGCCTAGGACATGTGACTTGGGATAAATGCCACCCCTTTTTCTTTTAAAGACATTTTCATTTATATTATTATTATCATATAGGAGTGAACGTGGCTCATTATTCCTTCAGTGAATAGTTCTGTGAATTTCTCCCCATGTACAGGTCCACATAACCACCGCTGGATCAGGTCCCATGACAGCTCCATCACCTCCCCCCCAAAATCTCCCTCTGTCCCCTCTTTGTCCTTGAGCCCTCACCCACCCCACTGCCCCAGCCATCAGCACTGTGTGTGTCTAACAAGTGGAAGGGTGGCCTGTAGCCTCCGATGCTGCTTTCTCACCTGGAGTGTTTGGGTGAGAAGCCCGCCAGATTCCTATTCTAGCAGCTCATGCTCAGTCTGCTTGGCAATGTCCCCGGGGGATGGACCAGAGCTTGCTCCCCTCGCCTCTGTATCCACTTCATCCTTCGTTCCTTCCTCACATGGTGGGCAGAGGAAGAAGGGAAGACCCCTGGACTTTCCACCTCTCTGCCTGAGTGGGTATGGGCTGGGGTCCCATGGATGAGCACACCCTGTGACTAGGGGCGCACACAAATTGAAATGCGACTCTGATGAACAGACAACATGGGGCATTAGAGGGGCTGGTGTGGGGCAGAAAAGAAAGGGGCAGGAGCGGTGGGGAGCAGTGTGAGCAGGGGCCGAGCTGAGAGATGGAGAAGGAGACATATGAGCCAAGACTTGCAGGAAGGAGAGGCACCTTGTGATTCCTGAAGGCTGAGCAGCCTGGCGAGGAGACGAGGATCCCTGCTGGAGCAGCACTCACAATACAGGGTGGCTGCGGGGGAGGGACATGCCGTCAGGGGCTGGGGTTCAGCCTCCACGTGGGGCCATGATATCTCGAGACATTTGGGGGGCCAGTCATGGAAGGGCACCCGAAGTCCACCGAGCATGTGCTCATGGGAGGAGCAGTCTCCCCGAGTCCCACCACAGCTGCACACTACACCTCTCAAACAGTCCTGACCCAAGACTAGTCTGCTGCCAGGCAGGTGGCCTTCCGGTCACACTCTGCCAGCGCACAAGCAGGAAGACACCAGGGCCAGATGCGGCCCTAGTCCCGTGGGCTCAGGCCTCGCTGGGCCGAGGTCACAGAGGCCAGAGTCCACAGGCCTCTGAGAGAGCCTTCTTAAGCCCTCCAAGGGCTGGCAGGAGGGCGTTAATCCTCGCCTGTGCCGCTGGCCAGGGTTCCAGATCTCATTAGCATTTATAGAAGTTGAATTAATCCTCCCTTGATAATCTTGTGCTTATTGATTTTTATTTTTAACTCTTATTTGATGAAGACAAATTAAGTGTCTTCCAAAGTACAGATTTTCCCAGGGAGGCCAAGGAAGGGGAGATAGGGAACCCGGGCATTCAGAGGGGACCAAAGACTCTTGTGGCTTGATTAGCATGTCCTGGGAGAAGGACAGGACGTCAAAGTGGCCAGAGTCAATTCAACTGAGACAGAGGGGAACCCCAGAGGGGACCTAGAGGCCTAAACCGCTAAGGTCCTGGTTAGGGCCACCTGAGCTTGTGGGGGCGGTTCTGATTCGTCTTTATCCCAAGCAAGTTAAAAGCAAATGTCAGTAGCCCACAGCCTGCAGAGAGGAGGGGACGTTTTGAGAAGCAGACGAAGGGCAACGTCCCGAAGACTGGCAGGAGGTGCAGCTCCTAACCCAGGAGCTAGTCTGGCCCAAGACCTTGGAGGGCAGGGGTATGCCCCGTCCCCTCACCTCTCAGGACCTGCCGCAAATGGAGCTGCCTGTTCTCAAGGCCAGAGCCAGGGTGGCCACAGCACCCAGGGCCTCACGGTCAACAATGATGCAGTGGACAGGCCTGGTGCTGGATGATGTGGCTCCAACCAGAGCTCAGGCATGTCCCGTGGCCAGAGCTGGATGCTTTGCAGGCCACGGGGCCTCGGCTAAGGTGTGTTAGGGGTACAGTGGGCTTCCCTGGTGCCTTAGCTGATAACGAATCCACATACAATGCAGGAGACCTGGGTTCAATCCCTGGGCTGGGAATCTTCCAACCTTCCCTGGCAAAGGGAAAGGTTAACCACCCCAGTATTCTGGCCTGGAGAATTCCATGGACTGTATAGTCCATGGGGTCGAAAGAGCTGGACACGACTGAGCGACCTTCAGGTACAGTAGGCAGTGACGACCTACACAGGTTAGGTCTCAGCAATTCAGCCACCATCATCTTCTTCCTTCTTTTCTGCATCATCTGCTTCCCTCAGAAGAGAAGATTCACTGGGTAGAGAAATTGGTTTAAATTATGATAGTTCAAACTGTTGATTGGATATCTCGTCTAAAGTGTTAAAATGTTAGTGGCTCAATAGTGCCTGACTCTTTGCGACCCCATGAACTATATAGGCCACCAGGCTCCTCTGTCCATGAGATTCGTCAGGCAAGAATACTGGAGTGGGTTGCCATTTCCTTCTCTAGGGGATCTTCCTGACCCAGGGATCGAACCGGGTGTCCCGCATTACAGGCAGATCCTATACTGTCTGAGCCACCAGGGAATCCCCATCTCATCTAAATCAGGTGCCCTTATTCTGCAGAAATATTTGGGGTCCTTGGAATATATGTTAAATTCCCAACTCTTACTCACACAGAGCTTGAAAACCAAGGAGGGCTGTTACAGACACTGAAGAAGCAGAAGATGGACTCTCATCCACGTGCACGGCCCAGACTCAGTCCTTCCAGGGGCAGAGGCCATTGGGAGGATGAAGTCTGCCACCCTGCGTTTTTTGTCCACGACACCATGTTCAGTCCTCACTGGTTTGCAGATGAGGAAACCGTAACTCAGGTGAGCCAGATGATTTGGCCCTGCCTGCACCCGGCTAGGGTTCTAAGCGTGCCCATTGCTATTGGCCCAGGGCCGTGGTGGCTGCTCCTAAGCCCGGACCTGCAGCAAGAAGACCTCAGTCCAGCAAAGAGGCTGGACCAGAGGCCTCACTGAGTCACCCAGCGGCTGGGCCCCTCGAGACCATGCTCTTGGCTCCAACTTCTCCGAGTCCACCGACTTGCTTATCAGCACAGACTCCACCTGCTCCTCACCTGTGCCCCTCAGCCTTCAGCCCCAGGC